CTCGCACAGCGCACTATTCCAGACGCGTGAAAGGCACTCGCATTCTCCTCGAGGTGTACATATGTGCGTATATATGTTATGTGTGAGTATCGTATGTGCTATGTGTACATATGTTCTATAACTTTTCTATGATTCGCAATTATATTCTTTTAGCCGTTTTGTATGCTGATTTAGTCGCGTGTCGCGTCTGCGACGTCGTCTGGTCAACTGAATTAAGAACGGGACGGGTTCGCGGCCGAGGCCGAGGCAGAGGCAGCCTCTGCGATTCGTCTAGCCGAGTGGGCAACTTCGTCAGACTCTGCGCCGACGCTGCGTCGCTGCCCGTTGTTGGTTTTTTGCTGCTTCTGTCGCTGCTGCTGCTGCTGCTGCTGGTGCTGTTGTTTCACTGTTGCTTCTATGCTGCACTGCAAATTGTTGCTGGCGTGCGGAAATCACGAAAATTAGGCGACCCCGATGGACACGACGCGACGCGACGCGACGCATTGAGCTCCCCCGATTGTCACTTTGGGGGCGTGATTGCCGTTCCAGGCGGAGGAAAAGGCTGTGCGGCCACCCACCCGCCGGCAGGCCATTAAAAGCAATTTGTTGACAGTGACACACAAAAGTGGACGCACACAGAGTGTGAGAGTGAGAGGCGCCCAGCGAAGCAAACAAATCGTACCGAAAATGATAACGTGGTAGGAATACTCGTGGGACTGCGAGAGACAACTCCATGACATCATCACATCATCGAACTGACCACAATCCATCCATCTTGATTGCTGTACTAGATCCGCTGGAAAGTGCAGCACCACCAGCCACCGTTGGGACGTTCGATTACCAGAAATGTTTGACAGTTCATTGCCAAAGGACAAATGTCACAGTCACAGGATTAAATAGTAGATTACTTAAATGCACACACACATAGGTGGGTGGCTTTAACAGTTGGGTCCCAAGGGAAACCTCCCTGGAAGTGTTTTCTGGGAAATCACAGTTCTTGAGAAAATGTGTTCTGTGTGTTAAGGAAATGTGTTTGATAAGAAAAACACTAGTCTGAGAGCGATAAGTTTCCATACTCAGATGTAAATAGAACACCGCTAAGCCGAGGAGAATACGAGTATAAACTTCTCTATTACGAAATTCCTTACAACGAGATTTGGTATACAACCGAATTGATTTCCAGAGCACAAGAATTCTGTATTCTGCACAAACGCAAAACAATTCTATATTAGATGGATGTTCGACTGTCTGTATATAAAACAGTTTTGGGTCGTCGTAATCGTCGGGAGTGAAAAAAGCGAAAGGCGAACATTTGGGCAAAAACTCGAATGTCGTGGGAATGCACTTACTGGCCCTTTCCTACGGATAAGACGCATAAGATCCACACCCTATATTCCGCATCCGTATCCGTAAGCCTATAGGTACACTAATATTTGTTTTATAAACCCTCTTATCATTTTTATTTGTTTAAATAAGCTGTAAAATCGCTAAATGGTGGATGCTATGCCCTTGAATAATTGACAAATTTCTCGAAATTTCCAATATTTCTAGTTTCCTTCCAGATTTTAGCCTGTACCTTAGATACAATGGTACCAGGCCATTGCAATAAATCACTTTGTATTAATTTTTTGGTACAACTGCATTTTGTTTGAGACTCTGAAACGGCGATAAAAAGAGCACTGCGGGAGCACTGCTCTGCCGGATCGAATACTGGAACTACTCCCGAGACCAGAAAACCTGCCTAAATCGTTCTGAGATTCCTCCTGAATCGGGCACAGGGTTCCCTCCTATCTGATCCGAGTCTTCAGCTTAGTCACTGGCTCCACCCACTCATTCTGCTTCCACGACTGGAAGTTTATGGAATTGGCATATCACTGGAACAGGTGCAATGCGGGTACATGCGTGTGCGTATGCGTATGTGTTTGTGTTTTTGTTTGTGTTTGTGCCAGCAAGTGGGCAGGTCTGCGCATATTTTTGCATATTTCTCTGGTCATCACATCCGCTGTACATGCGTGTGCGTGTGTGTGTGTGTGTGCGTGTGTGTGGAGGCACGAAGATTTCCGCTGCAGCTTGACATTTTGCAGTGTCGGCTTCGATAAGACGCAGATTGAACAGCGGAGCAGACACACGTACACACGTACACACGCACACACGCACACATGCACGAGCACATGCATGTGTACATACACGGAGGATGATCGTGGATGCGTGTCAGAACAGATGGCGTGCTGGCGCCCGCAAGGGGCGCGGCGCGGCAGGCCAGGGGCAAGCGTGCAATTTTCCAGCAGCCACAGACGACAAACGCAAAAATTGAAATGTGTGTCAACAAATTGCACAAATTATCAGCAGTTGTGGTACAGTTAGGAGCCACTCCAGGGGCAGCAGGGAGGCAGAGCGAGAGAGACAGCTAGTGTACTTGACACGAACTCGGATACATCATACGTATGTACGTATGTACGCATGTACGAAGGTAGGTGGGCGGTATCACAGTCCATCAGCATGACAATGGGCTAATTACGGTTCATACATCACGAGAAATGACCTGCCACCGACTGCCAACTGTCGACTGTCGACGGCCTCTGGTCTCTGGTCTCCCCCCCCTCTGATTGCCCAGCCGATGGGCACTCTTTGACCGGTTTATCCCACTGTGCATCACAGACCAGCCAGCAGAATGGACTTCCATGCTAAATCTCTGCCACTGTCACTTTTCGTCCATCTGAGCACGGGTACGGGTACGGGCGTGTGGGCGGCCGGCCACTGTTGAAGATCCCAAATGAACTCGAAGTTGAATGGAATCGAACGGAATGGAATGGAATGGAATGGACTGGAAGTTTGCGCTGAGGCGGGGGGAGTGCGGAAAACACTATGAGTGGTAAAAGAAAACTTACAGGTAAACACAAATAAACAAGAATAAATATATACATTTACATTCGGGGTATTCGTAAAGTGAACCTACACGCGCTCAAATTATTCGAATTTTACTCAAGAAAGTAGCAATTTCGACTATACGATACATGCCCGCTCCTCGGAAAGCACCTAGGAAAGCCTCAACCAAGTTCCAGTCGTATAGATTTTGGAGGATCGAAGATCGAATCAGGATAGCAACAGAGTTTTTTCTTAGCAGAGACTTAACAACAAACTACAAAAAGCTACAGTCTAAGATTAAAATTATACAAGCGGATCAAAGGAACAAAAGGAACCAACTCTGACCCTATAAACCCTATATGGTATGGGATAGCACATTCGCATGTCGGTTCTGAGCATTGTAATGTTGTCTTACATAACAGATAAAATTATGTAAGGGCCAAAGCGGTATCTCTGGCATCAAACCGAATCTTTCGGATAGACTTGTGGCCTTGGGAGCATTTTCTAAACACTGTGCCTTCGGATTGTAACTCCCTATCGAGAGTGTACTGTATTCCATACGAACGTATGAACATATGTACATATTTAAGCATCTATGTAGGCGGAATCCCCAGCGACCTGCCCATCAATGGCCATAAGCCGAACCCATTCGAATCGTTTTTGTTTTATTTTATCATAGGTGCGAATGCAGTCAGCAGCAGCGGCAGTCGATGCCGGGAAAAGACATTTATCAATACATTTTGGTGCGTTGGCTGATGTCGGTTTCCACCTTCACTTCCAGTGCCACTGCCACTGCCACTACCACTGGCACGCCGACGTGATGACAAAATCATTTACCGAACGCCCTTGGGCTGCTGCACGGGACGGGGGCGAGGAAAGCATAGTCTGCTGGGAAGCTGGTAAGCTGGGAAGCTGGTAAGCTGGTAAGCTGGGAAAGTGGGGAACTTGATCAGCACTTGCCACTAATCCCCTTCGTCAATTGGGGCACTTGGCATACCCATCAATTGGTTGGGGAAATGTTTTGCTCTTCGGGCTCTTGCTGCTTGGTTGTTCATTTTTTGAAGTGTGCTCCCCACATTCTGTTGCACTTTCATGTGGCATGCCCCCTTCCTATGAGCCGGGGCAGGCCATGCTCCCACCCTCAATCATCCTGCAACTATTTTCAGACTGTCTGACACACATTATGATGGGAGAAACGGAGGAGGGTCCGAAGCAGTATGTGTTAAAGAAGGCGGGCTGGCAGTGGAGTGTAGAGGAATGTAGCGAGTGATGGAAGGAGACTTGTGGAGCAGGGGCAGGGGCAGGGGCAGGTGCAGGGGCAGTCACTTGTTTACATTGTTCGGCTTCTTGTGGGCTACTTTGCAGCACAGCATGTGACCCCCTCTAACCGCACACATCTCTAATACCAACCCCACCCCCACCCGCAGCCGCAGCTTCTCCTCAACCAAATCACAAACAATTTTCCCTGTTGGTTTTCCCCTTCCTTGCATTTCCTTTTTCATCTTTGATGGATTGTTCAGCGGTCCATGGAAATCGGGAAGACTTTAAGTTTGAACATCCCCGAAAATAAAACCATCCGCCTTTTGGGGGGTGCGGTACTCTATTCTGTTTCTCTATTCTGTGCTGCACACCTATCTAATCGGATGTAAATGTAAACAATATTGAAACAATTTGATCTTTGATTACCTTGAATCCGTTTGAGCGGAATTCAATTCTATTTTTTCTGTATCTTTTTCTGTTTTAAACACTGCAGATGTAAACATTTTCGGCTTGAATTGTGATTTTGGTTTGCCATGAAAACAGCTATTCGACGGTTCTAAAAAGAGAGCATACATACTCGTACATATGTACATATACGAGAATAGTATATTCCCAAGGAATTTTTTATAATAATATTAATTATAATAATAACGCAAGTCTGGGCTACTGTAAAGCCCAAGACTCGTACAAATGTTTGTTCATTTTGTTCTCCGCCTTATGACTTTATTTTGGGCTCCCTAAGGAATATGAATGCCTTACTCGGAACTCAATAATACTGATCAAAATAATTATATTCGTAAAACAAATGTCTTCTTTCTATATTTTTCCGCCCTTTTTTTCTGATTTTTGTAACTCCGAAATTTGTATATTTATTTAATCGGGAATTCTGGACTTACGATTGCAGTGTGGAAAGGTTTGTGGCTGAGGCTCCAACGCCGCACGCCGTGGAATGCATTGTGCAACTTGTTCTTTTTTTCTCCTTTGCTTTCTCTCTCTCTCTCTCTCCGTTGTTGTCAGCACAATCCGCCAAGAATATATATATTCACGCACCAAACAGAAACAAAAAACGATTCCACAAAATAGACCAACGGTTAATGATCAAAACGAGGCTGGAACACGGCTTGGGCTTTACTCCGGGGTAGGGTTTCACTGGTTCGTTGCGGTTCGGCTCGGCTCGGCTCGGCTCGGCTCGGCAGGGTTCGGTTCGGCTTAGATGTTGCGCATGCGACTTGAGCGACTTCTGCAGCTGCGTCTGGCTGCGGCGGCATTCGCGACGTTCGGCGGCTGACTGAATTCTCTGTTACCGCCGAGGATGCCCGCCACGGGCGCAGCAGCAGCACACCAGCAGAGCAGCAGCAGCGCGGCCGGTCGTGGCAGAGGATGACGCTGCTGCTCCCAAAACGAAACCATTCCATGGAATGAGATGCCACCTCATATCCACACCCACACCCACACCCACAGCCACAGCGACAGCCACAGCTATATCCAAATCCACCACGTGGGATGGCCAATAGTTGCTGCGGCTATTACGGCTGTTCCCTCAGCATAAACACACAGATACGATAGACCAGTACTTGAATACTATATGTACCCCCCATATACCCATACCCATACCCATACCATGTGCGTACAGATACAGATCTACTATACAGTGCGGGATGGTTCTCTAAGGCAGGTGATTCTTTATTTGGTTTTTTTTGGGCTACACATATTTCAATGCTATAATTAAATATAATGCCGGTACTTAATAGTAGTTCTAGCATTAGCATTGTACTTACTTGATGAGTCGCTTAAGCATCACTGATCCTCTTAGATCCACTTTGTAGATCCAATTATGAACCGTTCAGGGTATTATTCGCGGACTATAACTCCTCCTCCTCCCACATTGTGTCGAGCAGTTAACTACCTTCTTTTTTTATAGAATACTAGGTAATAACATACATATGTACCTATCCCTGCATCAATGTTACATCATAATTCCAACATCTATGAATCTTTCCTGGATCTACCAACCTCCTGGCACATCTGACTAAAGCCAAAGTCTATGCAATCATCAAGATATTTCATTGGGAACGAATTCCATTTCAATTTTCGACTCGGGACCGTTAGAGACTGTGCATTTTGTTGTTGGATGCTGGGGACCGACTAAGCTGCCTTAGGCATTGGGCAGGCCCGCCATAGCACAGATTTTTGGTTCTTCATTCAACTTATCGGTATGGTATAGTCTTTGCTTCGCCGTTGCCAAATGCGGGAAATCCCAATAACTATAAAACCGATTTTTAATGTGAGAGTACGAGTATGTAAGAAGACAACTTCCAGCACAATTTGGCACGGCCAAAACTACTTTGTTAGTATCAAGATACTACTCGTAAGAGCCCTTCAACTGAGAGATGTCGTATGTACAGAGATGCGATGTATGAGGTGCTCTGAAACAGCACCACATGTTATCGGTCACGCTGTTGGTTTCTGGTTGGAATGAATCACAGGCCAGACCGCTATAACACATCCATCCATAAAACTGGAGGAAACCATGACCGAAGCAACAACAACACAGAGAAACTAAAATGGCCTGGCCGACAGACAGGCAATAATATATGGCCAGAGACTATACTTATTGCTTATACTATATAGACGGACCGACGGACCGACAGATGGAATGTCTGATCATTGGAAATTACAGAGAGTAGTTTCAATATTTCTTCAATATCTGAGTGAAGGTGCAAAACTTTGTTAGGGGAACTTGCTTTTTATCTACAAGATACATATTGAACCAAGAAACCGGATGAGATTTGTGGTCTGTCACAGAAGGCTATGCCCCTAGGGGTAGTGTCCATCTCATCCCCCCTTTGTCTACGGCCCTGGTACCCCTATACCTATATGTACGTCTGAAAGTTCTAGCAAGATCTAGTGCCGGCACTTGTTTGTTTACACTCTATCGAGGCGATCGGAGTCTTTCCCTCCCCTACCTCCCGCTCTCTGGAAAATGGAAAACCGAAAAAAAATATAGGAAAGTGCTATGTGAGATATTCCAGCTGGCCGTGTAATAAAGCGCAGCAGTTCAGCGACGGAGTGGGGTCTGGGGGTATGGGGGTACGGGGGTGGTGATGCCCCCCCTCAGAAAGTATGCCTATGCCGGCCTGCTCCTCTGCGGAGGAGGCACTTATGTACTTAGATCCGAGCGAGATGTGAAGTGAAGAAGTCGCCGAAACAGACACTTGCCCACTTGACATTGACGCGCCATGCCGCGGGAGGAGGGACCCCACTTGAGTTGTGTGACCCGGCCTTAAAATCTATCTCCTTCGAGGCAGCTCGTAAAAATCCATCCCACAGATACACGCACTCGCGCAAAGACATGGCAGCACATGACGGCGTGAATCGAGGGAGTGACATCAGTGGCAAGCTTTGGCCCGGAATATTTTTGCTCGTTTCATGTTTAAAATTCGTTAGACAGAAAAGCCGAAAGCCAATGGAATTGGCCAATTCCAAAGTTGTCTTTCTATTCATTTTCAATTGGCACACAATTCTCTACGCCAGACCGAATCGAGGGCAATTCGTTCGGTCTGAACGAAGCCTGGATACCCTCTGACAATGGATGACTGCATATCCCTCGAAAATGGATCTGTCTTTTGGTACCTCTCCTTCGAAACTGGTTCCTTCGATTAGGAAGCTTAGGCTTTATTGAATCTTCATTTCTTTATTTGCCAATTTGTGAATCCTCAGAGGCAGTGTCCGCACCGTTGGCAGCAAACAACGGACCAAAGTATCAATTAAAATTGGTCTCGCGTGTCGATTAGCGCCATTATCGGATCGGAGTATCCGGAATCACAGTGGGCGCTGTCTGTGCTTCCGGTGCAACGCCACCCCCCGCCGCTTACCTTGCCCCCAAGTGACGCCAACAGACCCGGACCCGTACCCGTACTCGTACCCGGACACGTTCGTTGGCCTCTCTATTTCTTTCGTAGCCTTTGTTTTATTTATTGCTTTCCTCTGGCCCATTTCCATTCCCATTCCCATTTATGTGGCCATTCAACTTTGAGCCATGCCCACAAATCGATAATCAACGCAGCGGATATAGTACATTCCCTCCCTCAACCTCAACCTCAACGCCATCCCCATCCTAGTCCAGGTAGGGATAGACAGGCGACTCCGGCCCGGGGTTCGCTGGCCGGACGCGCAAAGTCTGCCAGAGAGTATGCTTCTGGCGCGCCTGCATCTGGCGCTGCTGGAGCTCGCTGTAGGCAGGTGGCAGCAGGCGGCGTCTCCGTAGTCTGCGTTGGAGCTGCTTGGCCGGAGCCCGAATGGGGGTCAGCCAGCGGAGCTGCTCGAGGCGCCGTCGGCGCCGTTGGTGGAGTGTTCGCGAGGCGCAGTACGGACGGACAGTGATGTAGTAGACGATCTCGATCACCGAGAAGATGCTGAAGCCCATAAAGAGGCCCAGGAGGCCGCCAGTGTTAGCTGAAAAGATGCTAAGATAGAGCCAGGATGGGTGGGGGGGGGGGACTCATGAACTCACAGAGGAACTCCGTGAAGCCAAACATCTCGGACTTGGTGGTGCTGCGAAAGGTGTTGGTCACGTAGTAGAAGTGCAGAATGGAGAGCTCGCTGGCATTGCTGTGCTCGCCCTTGAAGATGTAGTCGGGCAGGTCCTCGCCGGACTGGAACCGCGGATCGGACACAATCGAGGACGTGGACAGGGTGGCCTTGTAGGTGAGCTCGAAGCAGCCGGGCCAGCAGTTCTCGCAGGAGAGGTTCGTCAGCGAGGACTCGATCTCCGTCTGGACGCGATTCGTGCAGATGTTGTCGTTCGGCCCGCAGACCCGGGAGGCCGGGTCGATCCGCGGCAGGTAGTAGAGGACGCAGTTGCACTCGCGGAGCAGCAGCTTGGCCTCGCACTCCAGCTCGCAGTTCTTGCGCGAGTAGGTGCGGTAGTATGCCAGATCGTTCTCGTCCGAGAAGAGGCAGCGCCTCACCGACTTCTTGATGGACCGAATCGAGGGCAGGGCGTCCTCGTACACGGGCTCGATGGGTATCCTCGCCTCCCTGCCCGCCGTCACTATGAGGCCGTAGTTGCTGACCTTCGGCAGCTCGGCGGGATTGTGGACGAGCACCTTGAAGCCCACGCTCATGGACTTGGTGCAGTAGTACTCCGCCACCGAGGCATTCAGCACCACGGTGAGCCCCATGCGTATCCCGGTGCCGCCCGAGGTTCGGGGGTAGTAGAACTCGGGCAGCTTCTTGGCATAGCCCCGCTCCGCGGTCCAGTCGATGGCCTCGTAGCGGCCGTTCTGCTGGGGCGGCTCCAGCCGGACATCGTCGCTGTAGTTCCGTATCAGGTACGAGGGATCCAGGGCATTGAAGTTGCAGCACAGGCCGTCGTCGGTGAGAATCGAGTTGAACAGCATGGTGCACTGTTCCTGGCGCGAGCCGAAGCTGCAGTAGAGCAGCATCTCGTCGCACGGCTGGGCCACCTCCACCAGTATCGCCTTGAAGTACTTCCAGGTGCCGATGTAGGAGATGGTCAGGTCTCCGCCCTGGTCGCAGAGGCCCATCAGCAGGGAGAAGTTGCTGCTGGAGCGCGAGATGCGCTGCACGCGGCTCAGCAGGGCCTGGTTCAGGTTGCAGATGGTGATGGCCGGAAAGGGCATGTTGCTGGTCAGCTTCTGCTTGGCGCTCGTCGAGATAATGATGGGCGAGGCGCTCCACTTGACGTACACGTTCGATATAAAGAAGCCCGACAGGATCACCACCAGAACGAAGGCGATCCCAAAGAAGACCCTGAAATTGAAATTGGAAGCTTCAAGCAAAAGCGAAGGACAAGGACAAGGACATGGACTAGAGGACCCACCGCTCTGGAATGGTAATGCTCTCCTCGGCGATGTACTTGAGCCCATGAAGAGTGCTGTTCTTCAGGTAGTAGACAATGCTCCGCTTGACGGCTGTGCCGCTGCACATGGTATCATCGTCCTCATCTTGGTCGTCATCATTGAAGTTGGAGGACAAGCTGAGGCGTCGCTTGCTGTCCGTCAACGCCTTCATGGTGCACTAGCCCGGGACGGCCAGGTCCCCGTGCATTTATAGCAGGTCAGGGGCGGCGCTGCACTGGTACTTGCAATTTCAATTCCATTCCCATTCCGTAATGCAGGTCCGGTCATCAGCGCTAATCATATTGGCTCTGGGCAAACACAGACGACCATTTGGCAGCGATAACTTCCAAATTGAATGTATGGCGGAGCATGGGGCATGCCCCACTGCTACCAGAAAATGTTACCAATGTTTGTCAACCATCAAAGTCGGACGCGTTGATTCCCACACCCAAAGGTCGAAAATCAAAGCAATCCGATTTGCTCTCTATAAACACAGTGGATGGCAAGAAAACACAATTACAATCCCAGAACCGCCAGCATAAACAAAGCTCCCACCTGCATGCCTTTTCTGTGTTCCAAAAACTCCAATATTCGAACATGAAAGTGAAAATATCCAAGGCCCGCCACTTGTAGACTGGCACCAGTTGAGAGATATCGCGGTATTTAGTTGTGTCAACGAGTAGTAAGGGGCATCGTAAATTCGAGTGTAACGAATCGTTTCCAACCCCTTATATCTTTATCAACATCAGCCGATATTTCTGTCCTTCTTCTATAGAGTTCTCAGTTCTGAGAGACTATAAAAGCAAGAGAGAGACAAGCCTCCCTCTGTTATGCCTCCAACAGTCCCTAGTTTCTCAACATCATCGTTGGGCACCATCGCATTCCCTGAAAAGGTTTCTTGAAACACAGTATGATGTGTTATAGACCGTCCAGATCTAGTTTCTCCTTTCATTGGCGTTGGAATGTGGAGACAAACTTCCGGTGGCATGTACGCCCTTGTATGTCTGACTCAAACTCCATTTTGTTAACAGATTCAGCATTAATTTCATACTGTGAGTCTCTAATGAACGCTTTACTCCCGACGCCACTTAGGTGGCATAAGCCATCCTCTCCTTCAGCTTCACCAGCCTGTCTAGGACTCACCCGCTTCGTCTTATCAGAAAAGACACTTCAATACGCAAAAAACTGTACCTAAAGGTACTGGAACACCAGAAAAACCGAATGTCAATCAGAAACGGATGCCAAAACGGAAGTGGTAAACAAAATTCGTTAGGTTTTTTGTTTGAATCGAGATTTATTTACGTTTCAGAATTACTAATAGAACATATGGTATTGATGATGTGCCTCGAGCCAGGCCTCAGCATCAGAAATATCACGAATAAAGTGTACAAGTGGATAAGTCGAACATTTCAGACCACTGTCCAATATCACGAGCCAGCATCAGTTCTACCATCGTCTTGTATCCGAATGGGCTGCCAGGGCTCCGGTTGTGGAAGGGCTGCTGTTTCTGTATCCAAGAAAAAAAAAAAAAAAAATGGCAGGATAACCCAAGGTAGCTAGAGGAGAGATTTCCAGTCTACTTACGTCGACATTTTGGATTACACCGATCTGTCAAACTAACTCTCCCAAGCCACCAGCCACCAGCCGATGATAAATGTGGCAGTGTTGCTTGGATTACAAAAAAGTAACCCAGAAAAATTACTGACAAGTATATGATGTGATGTGAACGTGTCGACTCTCTGTTTGATAATGAAATAAAATGGGAAATATACTATATAAGCAAAAACAAAACTATTAGATAGCCTACTGTAGATCAAAAAATGTATTGAAAATTGTAAGAGATTCCCATTCCCTTACTCGATAAACTAACTATGTCTATGTCTTATAAGTAGCAAAGAAAAAAGGTCCATGTGATCTCAATTCCAGCGCACGGTGTACGGTGGATCCATGGAAATGCCCACTTAAATATTCTATTAGTATCATTAGTGTCGCGGCACGTAAGCCGCCACTCACATCGCCTCAACTGGTTTTTATTGTATTGGGGAACGACTGATTCGAGTGTGGTCACTGGTCGTAGATTCATGTTATGTCTTGAAGACACTTCAATCAGCTTGAAGTTCAAATATGACCGATCATCTTCATAAAAGATCGACGAAGCCAGCATATTTGGCTAAAAAACAAAAACCCTACCTTACATTGCACACAGCACAGGTTGGGAAGAAAAAGAAACGGTCTTGAAATGATTATTACTCATCCAATTAAAATTCAAATTTTCAAATGGCGTGGGCCAGCGTTTAATGAACTTCTTTCGTGAGGCAGTCGGGAACTTCGTAAATAATTTCAATCAACTTTCGGCCTTCCGTGACTGCATCCATTTGCGGCCATCTTCTCGTATTAGATTCAAATCTGTATGTACTCTCTTTTTCATTAAAATAACTATACGTTGTGTGTATGTACATGTATAAAAGCCGTAAAAATCGTTGGACAGATAAAAGGAGTGCTACAAACTCTGGCATTTATCTTAAAAAATATCAAATGCGTCGAAACTATAGCCAAAAGAGCTAGCTAATTCGGATTAAATTGGAAAAAGTCAACTTTGAGATCTAGAATGTCTGCCGCATTGGGCGTCTCCTTCATGCTTAGCGCCTCCACGGCGTTGTCGCTGGCATGATCATACCCATGGCCTAAGGTGGGCGGTGCCCCCGCCACTGGGGGCTGCATCAGGTCGCTCACGTTTCTCAGCAGGCTCTCCTCGGACGGTGGCAAGAGTTTTCCGCCCGCTGACAGATTCAAGCGCTGGGCCGCCTCATCGGTGAGCGTATCGTCCAGTGACATGCTAAGCCCGGTGTAGTCGACCAGATTACGCCCCCCGCCAACAGCTGGACCTGCGTGCAACAGTTGCTCTGGCTCCGGTGTGGGTGCCTGTGCCGACTCCATCGCCGACATGTCCAAGGCATACTGGCCCTCGGGTATTCCCAGGACGCGGGCAATACGGGCATTTACAAAATGCAGGCCGGAGGTATTGCGTATCAGTCGTGTGCTCCGCAGCTGCAGCTGAACCACAAAGTCATTCAACTCGTGCAAGAAGAGATCGGCTCGCTGCTCCTCGCTAAGGTGGGAGTGACGCTGCAGCTGGGTGGTTAGAAGTCCGAACAATGACGGTTGAAGGGGCTGGGACGTAGCTTGAGTTGGCTGAATCTGCTGCGGGGGCTGCGAGGGCTCTGATGGGCGTGGCATGTGCTCGGGAAACTTGACAAAATGACGCTGCAAGCGGCGGCCAAGGAAGATTTTGTTGCAGCCCGGGCAAATTGCGTTCTTAGGCACAGATCGTTGCGATACGCCAACCTGAACGGGCGAGGTCTTTGGCGCTGCCATAGGAGCGTAATAGTCCTTGTCTCGTAGTTCAGCCACCAGCGCCTCCAGAAGCTGGGCGGATGTCGGCTCCGAGGCTATGCCAGTTGGAACTGGCGCTGCTTGCGGCATCGAAGGACGCACCAGGCGACCGGAGCGAGTACGATGTGTGCCCTCAGCCGGCACTGCCGCCTGTGGCAGAGGTGACGGCTTTCCGAGAGGCACAGCAGCAGCTGAGGTAGTTTGTATAGATATGCGTTTCGGGGGGCGACCAACTTTGAGAGGAGTGTGTTTAATCTCCGCTGGGCGCATTCCCATGCCGATGGGATCGAGGCAGCGGTAGATGGTCATCTGATGGGTCACGGAATCTGTGCGTATCACTTCGTTCCGCTTGCTGGCAATAGACGCAAATTAATTGTCAAAAGTTGTCTACATAAAAGACATTTACTACTTACCGATCAATAACTATGTGGTCGTCTTTGGACAGCTTGTACAGATTGTAGGCCAGCTTTGCGAGTGAATCACAGTCCTGGTTGGCCACGTTAACTAGCTCGGTGGCTTGAGGGCTAAACTCAAAGCGTTCGTGCGACGAGCTTTGCTCATGCTGCTCGTTCTCCATCTTTTGATCTAGCTGCATCGCTAGTGCGCTGTCCAGCTGTTCCTCCAGCAAATCATTTGCACTCTTCTATCATATTTTTTTGCCATGCAACGGAACCCAAGATAAACAGTTAATTTTGGGTTGGTTTGCTTCGGTTTTGGCTATACCACACACCCATCAGCTGTCGGACATGAGAAGAGAGAGAAGACAGAGAATAGGAATAGCTGTGTATTGAGTGTATCGATACGCGGAAGCAACACGTACATATATCGTTAAAGGGCTTTAACTGACAAACAAAACATCCTTGCGGTTAAGTAGTTTTGTGTCCATCATTTTAATTCGAAGAAAGACACACATTATTCAAATACTTGAGTTATTTGTTGATTAGAATGTCGAATTTCGTACTGCCGATAGTTTCCCGCACACTATCGATATCAGAATCGCCACCACTCCTTGGGCACCGACCTCACTCACTTGCGCAGCTTATAAGCAAAAAAAAAAAAGACCGTATAGCCGTGTCGGCAAATTTCCAGGCAGGAGCCCAAAGAAAACTATACTTTTTTGCACTTTGAAAAGCGGCTGGAGTGCACGCACCGCACTTATTTTGATTATACAATTTTGCCGGATCGACGTTCGCAGCTGGCCCTCGTCACCGCCCCGCCGCGCCATCCGCAAAACGCCGACCCGTCGCTGCTGCCAGCGCACTCGTATTGTTGTTATTGTTCGTGTGTTTTTGCATTTTGGCCGAAATGTCGAAGAACAAGCTGAACCTGGTGCTGCCGCCGGTGAATACGGAGGCAACTGTTGCAGCCGCACAAGTGGCTCCAACGCCGCCATTTAAAACACCATCGGGCACAGAGTAAATATGGCATTTCTTTCTAATTAATTATAATTCCCAACATTTCTCGCAAAACTCGCAGTTTTCATTTGTCAACAGAGGCTAGCGAATGCTCGACTGCTTCACACTGTGTACACCCAGCACTCAGTACGGGGATATTAGGTAATCTCGGCGATAATATGGTGTGGTTTTAAGTGGTATACCATGGAAAAGGGTGTCGCTTTAAGCAACAAATTTTGCAGCGCAGTTGCATTAGAAGGCGGGTGCTGTCAATGATCAATACGAGGCAACCTAATCTACCCGGAGCGAGTGCTGGGCATGAACAGTTGGCCGGGTCTGTTTTGAAATGGTGTATGGGTGGGTGTGCTGCTGCTGTTGTAGGAGATGTCGTAGTCGTTGTCAGTTTGCACACACACACACACACACACATACGCCGAAGCCACCCACAACAATGTGGAGCAGTGAAAAAGAGACAAGGATACATGGTGATGGCACAGGGTAAACGTATACAAGGTGGGGCCATACATACTCTCCTCTACGGGTAGCATATGTCATGCTCTCTCTCTGTCATGCAGCGACGGACGTACATGTACATATACATAAAAGTGCAACTGAATGCGATTATGCTACTCAAGAAGAGGGTCCTCTGCCACTTAGATAATGTACCTTGTATGAGTATACCCTGGCCTTGCATTCACCTCTTTCCCTCCATCGCCTCGCCTCGCATCCCATCCAATCCAGTCCAACTCCTCGCTCCTAGTTCTATTTTTCGTTTCTGTTCCGCAAAAATTCATTAAAAAGTTAAATTAAAGAACACATAGCCTGCTGGGAAAGCCAAAAACGAGCATTGATGCGTTAACTGAGACTCTAGAAGGACTGGACATGGACGACACGGAGCGCAAGCGGATAAAAGTCTTTCTTAGCCAGAAGGAGAAGATTGGCGAACTTTCGGACGAGGACCTGGAGAAGCTGGGCGAACTGGGCTCCGGGAACGGCGGCGTAGTCATGAAAGTCCGACACACGCACACAAACCTGATAATGGCGAGGAAGCTTATTCATCTGGAGGTGAAGCCGGCCATCAAGAAGCAAATCCTACGCGAACTAAAGGTCCTACACGAGTGCAACTTCCCACACATTGTCGGCTTCTATGGCGCCTTCTACAGCGACGGTGAGATTAGCATATGCATGGAGTACATGGACGGCGGCTCACTCGATCTCATACTGAAGCGGGCCGGTAGAATACCCGAGTCGATCCTGGGACGCATCACGCTCGCCGTTCTGAAAGGCCTTAGTTATCTGCGGGACAAGCACGCCATCATCCACCGGGATGTGAAGCCGAGCAACATCCTGGTCAATAGCAGCGGAGAGATAAAGATCTGTGATTTCGGAGTGTCTGGCCAGCTGATTGACTCAATGGCCAACTCGTTTGTGGGCACGCGCAGCTACATGTCAGTGAGTGTCACTCCCTTGCCGATCGATCCTTGCCAAAATGTGCACTAAATAATCTGCTTCCCTCTACTCTACTTTACTCTGCGCTTCTGTTGCAGCCGGAACGTCTGCAGGGCACTCACTACTCAGTACAGTCGGACATTTGGTCGCTGGGACTGTCGCTGGTGGAGATGGCCATCGGCATGTATCCGATACCGCCGCCAAACACCGCCACTTTAGCGTCTATGTTTGCCGACAAAGTCGAGGATAGCAATCAGCCCGTAGATGAGCCGAGGGCGATGGCCATCTTCGAGCTGCTCGACTATATAGTAAATGAACCGCCACCCAAGCTGGAGCATGAGACATTCTCAAGCGAGTTCAAGGACTTTGTCGACATCTGTCTCAAGAAGCAGCCCGACGAGCGGGCCGATCTCAAGACTCTGCTGGTATGTATATTCCGGACCAGTTCCGCTGCGCAAATCATTTCGATCGTTGTTCTGTTCTCTGAAGTACGAATTCTTTTCTTTTTGTTGCTGTAAAGAGTCATCCGTGGATACGCAAGGCGGAGGTGGAGGAGGTGGATATATCAGGATGGGTGTGTAAGACAATGGACCTGCCGCCGTCGACACCAAAACGCAATACTTCGCCCAACTAAATGTTGCATTCCGATCTGCGTTTTGCGTTTTGCGCTCTCACCATTCATCACACCACCACTCACCATTGGCCCTCTCACCCGCCGTGCCGCACTCACTAACGAACACGCACAAAAAACACACATACACGTTATCTATTTGTATGTAGCTAAGTACTATACTGTTGTATCATATACACATACCATATATATATATATATATATGTATCCATATATATATAGATCCATCGATATACATCGCATGCATATGTATGTTATATATGTATTTCCAATTCTTTCGAATCCTTCCGATGTCTCTGTGTGTTTCTATTTGCTCTTTTACAAAGAAACTTCATGTTTCATTACTCCGCAACGAAAGGAGAAAACCAACAATCAACAAAAGCAAACAAAACTAATTATAAAATCGAAAATAAAAAATCAAAGTTAAATCAGGCAAAAACTGTTTCAAAAACTCTTCAAAAACGATTTGCTGTTTGCTTGGGCAGCTTTAGGTTCACTTTTCATTCGTGAGTATCTCACCTCAAAAATCACCGCGAAACCCCTGGTGAAGACTCAAGTGGAACGTCCCTACGGCATGAATGGGTTTTAAGCCGTGTTTCGTAGCCAATCCTTAACGAATTACGCCCAAGTTCGAGAGCTGTCCATTTATTTCAAAACGCTGTCGAAGGCCTTCAGCAATGCTGACCGCTCCCGCTGAAAGAAGCTGTTCCTGTTCGAGCACTGCTGGAATGTGTATTCCTGTATCGAATCCTATGCTCTAGTGGACTTCTTGCCTGAGCAGGGGATAACCAATCAATTCTTCATCAAACTTTCCGATTTGGCCGATGCCCGATCAAAATTCTTAGTGAAACTACCAGTGAGAATAGCGGCGTACTGATGGTTCGCGTTAGATCATTGCTTAAATCATTAAAAATTAATTGCTTGCACAGCCAAATTTTGTTGGCTGGCAGCGCTTTCAAATTCCAACCGATTTTTCTCAACAACGACGGTTACCGATATCGAAGGTATCGCATCGTCCATCTCTAGTCGGGAAAAATAAATAAAGTAGCAGAAACAGCTGTGTTGCTCGGGTTGTATATAAACAGATACAAGAACGTTTGTTGATAAGCGTTTCACAGTCGCAGTTGCAGATCGAGCACGCAGTTTTGGCCAGTACGTACGCTCCTGACTAATTGCAATTGTCAATGAAAGAGAGGCGGCAGAGACGCAGTCAGCACAGCACATAAGCGATGTGGGTGAGGGAAAGGGAGAGGAAGAGAGCGGCAGCAGCACAAGCACAAGCACAGGAAAATTGAGACAAGAGTTCTTTGTTGCAACGCAACGCGACGCAAATTATAGTTGGAGCAACAAGCCGACCGACCACGCTCCATAACAACAACAAGCGACGCGACAGTAGGTTCAAGACAGAGCTCCAATGCAGACGTTCCGCAGCAGCAGCAACGGTAACGGTAACTGCAACTGCAACTGCATTTGACGCAGGGGCAGACCTCTGGAACACTATCGAAGAAGGAAAGGAAAACCAAATTCAAGCATCCAGCATCATGTCAGCAGTTAATCAAAAGGAGAGTCCCAGCCGGGACTCCACTGCCTCCACATCGGGACACATATCTATGCTGGTAGACAGCACACTGGAGTCTCTCTCCCGGGACTACAGCCTGGGCAGCCTGAACTCCGCCGGCAGCCAGGACGAGTTCTTCCGTTGCCGGGATCACGCCGACAACGTCCTTAAGCGGATGCAGCTGTACGTGGAAAGCCAGCAGCTGTGCGATGTAACCCTAATCGCTGGGATCGATGGAAAGCGGTGAGTCGAAAACGAAAGACAAAGGAATTCAAATTGGAAAGTTGGGCCCCTTCCAATTGCCTTGCCTTTGCCTTTGCCTTTGCCTCTCCACAGCCACAACCACAGCCACAGCCATATCCCCGTTGTGCGATTCATTAGCGATTCTCCAGCGTATGCTTCTTTCTCTATCTCGCTCTCTCACTTGCTGCCATTCCCCAGGCGCTTCCTCTCCCGCAACTGACCTTCACTTCGGCTCAGTTCACTTGGGTTCTTTGTCTGTTTTCTGCGCTGTCTGTCGCTGTCCCCAACGCGATTCCAACAGTAAACACTCATACACACACATCGAACGCGTCGCACTAATTGCGTCTGCTGCACGAGAGCTGAGGAGGAGCTGGAGGAGCTGGGTCCCAGCTGCAGCAGAGGCTAGTCAACTGAGCGGCTGAGAGTTGAGCAAACGGGCCGACAAGTGATCGAGCGAGGGACAGAGACAGACAGACACAGAGAGAGAGAGAGAGAGACGCGAATGCAGTTCCGCAGTCTGTTTCGTTTCGTATTCATGTTCGTGAGAGAGGGGAACAATGGTAATGCGGCGAAGATAGTGATATGGAAAGATACATATGCGTAGATTTCCCGATTTCCAATCAAGATTTATGGTGCGATCTATGCAGAAAAATGTGCACACACGAATACATTTGCAGCTCTGTTTGATGCTTCCTTTGATGCTTTGTGCATTCAACCGGTTTTTTTTTAATGAAAACCCTCCTCCCCGGTACCGTGGTACTCGGATGCAGACAGTGCATACACACAATGTATGATATTCTTATACTCATATTGAACTTTTATGTTTGGGAATGATCCGAGTCCTAGTCCGAATCCGAATGATGATTCGGAGACAGAGCTCAAATATATTAGATATAGATAGCACTTCATTCTGCTTCTCCCATTATATATACATATATATCAATAAATAGCAAGAGGGAAGGATACTTTAACGATTTAACACTTTATTCTTTTTGGTTTTTGGTTTTTGGTTCGTTGTTCAGAGTGCCTGCCCATCGACTGGTACTATCGGCTTCCAGTGCCTACTTCTCGGCGATGTTCACGGGCTCACTCCGCGAGACCCAGGAGCAGGAGGTGACGCTCGGCGAGGTGCCAGGCGACGCCCTGCATCTTCTGGTGCAATACTGCTACACGGGATTCATCGAACTGCGCGAAGACACCGTGGAGACGCTCCTGGCGACGGCCTGCCTGCTGCAGCTCACCGCGGTAGTGACTGCGTGCTGCAACTTTCTGGCCAGGCAGCTGCACCCGTCCAACTGTCTGGGATTCGCTTTCTTCGCCGAGCAGCAGAGCTGCACGACGTTGCTGCGCCTGGCCCAGTCCTACACGTGCCAGTACTTCATGCAAGTGTGCCAGAACCAGGAGTTCTTCCAACTGAACGCCGACCAGCTGGGCAAGCTGCTCTGCAGCGATGATCTCAATGTGCCCTCCGAGCAGGACGTCTTTCACAGCCTTATGTCCTGGGTGCGGCACGACTCCCCCAGCCGGGAGCAGCACATTCCCGAGCTGCTGGCCCTCGTCCGGCTGCCGCTGCTGCAGCCGTCCTTCATCATGGACCACGTGGAGAACGTTTGCAATGCCAACGAGTGCCAGCAGCTGGTCATGGAAGCCTTCAAGTGGCACCTAATGCCCGAGCGTCGCTCCCGCATCGCCACCGAGCGCACTACTCCCCGAAAGTCAACCGTTGGCCGACTCCTAGCTGTCGGCGGCATGGATGCCCACAAGGGAGCGATCAGTATCGAGAGCTACTGCCCTCGCCTGGACAAGTGGACACCATTTAAGCACATGACTGGACGTCGTCTACAGTTCGGGGCCGCTGTCATGGAGGACAAGCTTATCTTGGTAGGCGGACGTGATGGCCTGAAGACCCTCAACACTGTGGAGAGCCTCGACCTGAATACTATGTCCTGGGTCCCGTTGAATCCCATGGCCACTCCACGCCATGGTCTCGGTGTGGCTGTGCTCGAGGGTCCGCTCTATGCTGTCGGCGGTCATGATGGCTGGAGCTACCTAAACACCGTTGAGCGGTAAGTCAGGGCTCGCAATCATTGGAAATCCCCGTTGATTTTCCCCTTTTTTCCCCCTGGTCTAGGTGGGATCCCATAGCTCGTACCTGGAGCTATGTCTCGCCCATGTCCTCGATGCGTTCCACCGCCGGTGTGGCGGTGCTAAGTGGCCGCCTTTATGCGGTGGGCGGGCGTGATGGTTCCGTCTGCCATCGCTCCATAGAATGCTACGATCCGCACACGAACAAATGGAGCCTGCTGGCGCCCATGAATCGGCGTCGTGGTGGTGTGGGTGTAAGTCGTCTCGGAAGGGCACGGACTACGGAATCCATATGCACATATTTTGATCTGATTTGTACGTATTTCTTTCAGGTGACGGTGGCAAATGGTTTCCTTTATGCATTGGGCGGCCACGATTGCCCCGCCAGCAACCCCATGGTCTGTCGCACTGAAACCGTGGAACGCTATGATCCAGCTACCGATACCTGGACACTGGTAAGTCTTTCTCAAATAAAAGTGCTCTCCGCATACGAGTATACGAGTATATCTCCCGCTCTTAGATTTGCTCGCTGGCCTTGGGAAGGGACGCAATTGGCTGTGCTCTGCTTGGTGATCGACTGATTGTCGTTGGCGGCTACGATGGAAATACTGCGCTAAAGAGCGTTGAGGAATACGACCCGGTTCGCAATGGTTGGAACGAGCTGGCCCCCATGTCGTTTGCCCGGGCCGGTGCCTGTGTTGTGGCCATACCCAATGTCATACCGCCGGCGGCCCAGCAGCCGCCCCCCAGTGCTACAGTTTAGTTTAACCCAATTCCAATTCCACATTTGTTTCTACTGTAGTTGTTGTTCACGTTCTCGTTGTCGTTGTCGTTCTGAGCTGCTCGTGGCTGTTGCGCTGCCGTTGTTGTGTATGCTATCCTGATCATATCCTTGCAGTATAGAAAGCCCACTAGATGTGGCTGTTGCGCTGCCGTTGTTGTGTATGCTATCCTGATCATATCCTTGCAGTATAGAAAGCCCACTAGATGTGGCCTAGTGTGTCCTTTTGTCTGCTTCCATTGAAACTGCCATATGGTGCCATGTTCCATAAAAACAACGACTGTATCGTAGAGAGCTGCTATTGGTGGAAAGATAGGCCGCAAAAAGAGTAGAGTATTGTTCGAGAATCTGCAAGGGTACGTGAAGCTTTAGCTCCCGAAGATAGCTTTTGCTTCTGGGAAGCAAATGAATACTTTTGTAACCATGCAAGAACTGCAGCCCGAACGGACCCGACCCGGCTCTGCTTACGCTCGCGTCGCCTCTCGCCCTCTGTGTTCCGGCATTGATAACCTGGCACCCTCTGGCATGGCATTTTCGCGTCTCCACCCCCCGCTCCCAGTTCCTACTTCTCGCATCCAAGCCATCCACGGGCCTTCCTGCTACTTTCCTCGCGGTTAAGCATACCAACGAAATCCAACAAAAATCTCATAAATTATAAGATATGCATGCGGCGAGGCTTCATGAACGCAAACGCTAACGCAAACGCATTCCTAGTTGTATTTAATCCACGCCATTTAAATATTCTTTCTACCTATCGTAGTTACATTCGCATCTCATTTATTTTGTCGAATGCTTCACGGTAGTCGCTCCCCTGCCCCAGCTCGCTCTCACTCAATTCGAGGTGACAGACACAGACACATCCATCCCATCCCATCCCACACTCCCACGTACACACGCATACCGTCTACTCGACTCCATTCCACCCAGCATAACATCCATTCCATTCCATAATGCTCCAGTGATTCAGTGTATTAATGCTAAAGAAGACTGTCCCAAGCCAAAATTCCGAACATTCCAAATCCGAATCCAATTAACGGCTCATTCGCATGTGAAGTGTACGCTTTTGTGTTTATACAAATGAAGAAAAATAGTAAGAAAAGACAAATATTAGTTCTAGTTAGTAAGTACCATATGTATGTATGTATGTAATGCCATTTTGAAACTAGTTTTGAATGATTTTAGTTACATACTGCATCTTCATTGGCATCGATTAGCAATGTACTACCTACATATATGTGTCTATAAGCAAGCATTTATTTCTAATTTTTTATTATGTTTTTATTTCTTTCTTTTCCCATTTCCGAACGTTTTCCTCGTTTCTCGACTGCATTAAACGTGCGTATATTTTGTAGAAAAAGAAGAAGTGGAAGCCAGTGAGATTGGATCCAATCTGCTATAGGCGTCCTAGATCCGTCGAGTTTGTCGACTACTGTAATATGTAAAGCAAAGAAAGCTGAAACTGAAAAACTATAAACATTTAAGCAAAGCAATGCTACGAAAACAGAAAAAAGCAAGGAAGATAAATTCAAATATTACGTATTATTTTATATTTACACATATATATTTTTACACAAAGCATACACTATGCATAAATGTATAAACTGAATATGTATTTTTTGTAATAAATCGTAAATCTTATTTATTTGATTAGCTGCCTGTTTAAAACCGAATCGAGAGAGCCGAATCGAACTCAACCGCTTATTACAAGCTATCGATAGTCCGCACTGTATATCGATATTCCGTTGCGCACCACCTCTGACCGTATCGATAAGTCGGGCTGGCAACTCTGCGCTCTCTCCCGGCCATATTCCTCTCTGTTTTCCATACTCTCTCTCTCTCATTTGTCATAGAATTGAAATTTGCTTAAAATCCAATTAGCGTTAATTAAAAACGCACAAAGCGGAGTCGGTAGCATGGACGCGGAGCACCTGAAACGACTAGAAGGCAGGGAAGCTGAGTACATCCCAGACATACTAAATGAATTCAATAAAAAGGTAGGATACTTACAATATGGTGGCCCGTGCTCATCTCATCCGTTCGATTCATGGTCCAATGCAACAAACTACTTTGCAGCACGCGGATCTTCTGGTCTTTGACAGCTTCCACTCGGACAACCAATGGCACGAGCTTTGGCTGGCCATCTTCGGGATCTTGGACGACGCGCAGCTAGGACACCTGCACACCCAGTGCCTCAATACGGTAAGGATATTGACCCGCGACGAGTTCAGTCTGCAAACCAACTACATCGAGCATGAGGTCAGCCAGCTGCTTAGGCTGGCCCGCGTCGAGGCCAGCTCCCTCAAGCTGCCAGCCACCCCCGACGAGCTCAAGCAGCAGGAGGAAGGTCAGCTGCAGCTACAGGAGCAGCCCAGCTTGGCCCAGTCGGACATTATAGCCGAAGCCCTAAAATGCTTGTGCAATTTGGTCTACCAGAGTGCGGACTGCCGTCGGCAGTGCCTGCGCCAACACTGCCTGGATGCCATCCTAAAGCGGGTGGCTTCCTCAATGCGTCATCCCTGTGCTCTCGAGTACTACGACATGAAGCTACTGTTTTTGCTCACAGCTCTGGAGCCAGCGGCCCGCACCCGTCTCCAAATCGATCTCAACGGCCTCACCTACATGACCAAGTGGCTGGATGACAAGCTGGCCGAGCCCAGCTGCAGCGAGGAGCAGCTCAACATCATCTGCGAGCTGCTCAAAGTGATGTTTAATGTGACCAGTGCACCGGATAAGAGTCCCAACGAGTACGAGATCCAGAGCTTGCATCTGACCGGAGTGCTCAGGGAGCTTCTGCTCCGTTTCGGAAAGATGGCCACCGACAAGGAGCGCTCGGTGGTCACGCATACCATCAATCTGCTTACCAACATCTCCAGCAGCTGCCTCATCGAACTAACCATCAAGTGCAGTAATGCCGAGGAGCAGCCCAAGAAGGTGGTGGAGGGTGTGGCAAAGGCAAAGCCGGCCAAATGCTGTGCTCTTTGCTTCGAGAAACGCAATGTGCGCTGTTTGACCGTACTCCTTAACTATCTGCGGCAAGCCTTGGCCCAGCAAGAGGCCGAGGCCAGCTCCCATGAGCTGCTCTCTCCGGTGCTAACCGTTCTGGTGAAGTGCTCCCGCAGCGATCGCGTTATGCGTCACTATCTGAGGCAGGAGATCTTACCGCCACTGCGTGATGTTAGCCAGCGTCCGGAGATTGGCCAGGAGCTGCGAAATCACCTTTGCCGCTTCCTTACGCTGCCCGCAATGATCTTGCGCGACCTCGCCGCTGAGCTGCTCTTTGTCCTCTGCAAAGAAGACGTAGGCCGGATGATCAAGTACACGGGATATGGCAATGCGGCTGGCCTGTTTGCCAAACGTGGCATACTCGACTGCCGCCGCGTGGAGGGCGCCGACTATTCATCGGACAGCGAGGACAGCGACACCGAGGAGTACAAGAAGCACCAGCAGGGTATTAATCCTGTTCTCGGCTGCGTGGAACCCAAATCCAAGCATAACCCGCTGGACGACATGACCGAGGAGCAGAAGGAGAGCGAGGCGCTCCAGCTGGTCAATCTCATCGAGCAGCTCCGCCAGGGGGGTATAGTCAAGCCCGCACTCATCGACAAGGATGGTAAGCCGCAACCGCTGGAACACATTCTGCAGCTCCAGGAGGAACTGCCGCAGCAGCAGCTTGAGCAGAAGCGCAAAACCTAAGCAGTAGCATAGCCTGCATAATGATATCGATGATGTCATAGCCCAAATTGAAATCGATTTAACTGCACCTGCCTGCAATCGGTAGATAACTGCTAAGCTCGATTATATTATCGATACCTTTGCGTGGAATAGGTCCCAAGCAGAGACGTGGGGCTCATTTCACAGCACTTCCATCGTTCGCTTCGAATCGAAAACAAAATGCATAACAATCGTTGGGGTCTTCCAGCTTGGTGCCGGGGCGGGGGACGGGGTTGGGGCAGATGGGGCCTCGCAGGGTAGTGGCAGATCAACAAACAGAAACAAAAACAAATACCAAAACGGCAATCTTTTATATATACACAACTGATCCACAAATAGATCAATAGACAAATTTGACTAATCTTTGTAATAGTTAAGTGCATGTATTTATAAAAACTCTAATTATACATTTACGATCTAAGTACATACAGTTCGTGTGAAATAGGCCTTACGCGGATTCGATCCGATCCGATCCGATCCGATCCTCCCAGCTGGGCGACCTCCTACGAAACTGCAGCCTACATTTGGCTTTGAATTTACATTGAACACATTCGAGTACAATTTCGAAGATCCAGAACTTATGTTTACTATGCTGCATCAGATCTATTTCGCACCAGCTCTTATATTATACATATACTATACATGTTTTGTGTACGTAACTATAACACTAGCTTAAACTGACTAAAATAATGACTATGAAGTCTATCCATGATAGACGCGAGTGAGGTAAACTTGAAGGAGCAAATCCAGACTCGGTACCGATCTACTGTATTGTTCTTTATTGTCGTTAAGGCTCTTCCGGATGTTGTCAAGTCAAGTTTCTTGAACTTTTTCTTCTGCTATAAGTTCTTTGTTCCCCTTTGAAATTAGCCGAAATGCTTCCTCAAGCACACTGGTCCCAGGGATAGCCACACAACCATACGATTTCGAATTAATCTAGGCTCCTGTCCTGTCTATTTCTCCTCGGACGCATATGCTTCAACATAATGTTCACAGTTTTAAAATTTATATATTCGCGCAAGGCATTACGAAAAGATTCCAGAACAGAGACCATAATCGAAACTATGAGTATCTGGCAGTCACGTGTCGGAGACGTGCAGTCTCTTTGAACTATAAAAACCACATCCTATATAGAGCTTTATTGTGTTCAATTTGCAATAGCGATAGAAGACATCAATAAATAAATATGTATATGTATACGGCCAGGGGCAGCGCCAGGGGCAGGGGCAGGGCCAGGCAAACAAAGAAACTCTTGCAATCGGTGAAAGTCTCACACAAGCAACAAGAAAATTTTGTTAAATTACTGTCGTCGATCGAAAAATTTGCATTTATAAATAGAAAAAATATATATAACTAAAAACATAAAAATCGTAATGAAATCATCTAGTCGTCATTGATGCGAGTCGCCTGGATCTCGCTGATGTGTCGCTGATGCAGGGGCTGGAAGTTATCTCCAGAAATATGCTTCCTGCGACGGGGCTCCTTCACTGTGTGGCTCGAGGGCAGGGTCTGTACCGGAGCCGGTGCCGATGCCAGAGTCGAAAACAAATCCAAATACATGGGCTTCAGGATTGTGTGCTGTTTGCCAGGTGTAGGTCTAGTGTTGAATGAATCGTCTGGCGAGTGGCGAACTCCTGAAGGGATTATGGAATCGTATCTATCTTTTTCCATCTCGTGGCGAGGGAGCTCATGGGTTAGGCAGTACTTTGCCTCCAAAAAATCTTTAGCGTCGCCCACCTGCTGCTCGCCTTTTTCCGATGCATCGAAGACATCGTGCTGCTGTTTCTTGAACTTGTAGGACGAGGTGGATTCGTGGAGCTCCGTAATGTTATTTCCGTGGTGCTTTACGTCCCGGTTGCCGTTATATTTCTTAATCAGTGTCTTCTTTACCACCGTCTTACGAGATGTGGGTGTAAAATAGGCCTCGGAGTCTGAAGAATATACCGTTTTGGAGCGGTCTGAGCCGTTATTCTTCGAATTTTCGTTGATGATCATCAGTCCGGTTTCCGCCGCATACTTAAGGATCTTCTTCTGCATCTTTTTCCTCTCGGCCTGGAGTCTATCCAAATTCGCTTGCACTTTGGCATCCATATCGGGATCCAGGGAATTTGTTTCGCGCTGTTTCCGCCGCAGCAGTGCCTCGAGAAGAAAGCTCTTCTCGTTCCTTGTGTTGTCCGAGCGCCTGCCCGGTAGCGCCTGCAGTAGTTCCTTCTCCCGCTTCCTCACTTTCCGCTGGCTTAGGTTCGGGTTCGGGTTCGGGTCGGGGTTCTGGTTATGGTTCACTATGTCCTGCGGTTCCTTCTGGACGACTATGGCCTCGTGCTCGAGCTTGACACTGGTTTGAACTGTCTTCGGCTGCTCTCTGTGCTTCTGCTTGGAACTTCTTGCCTTGGGCGGCTTCAGGAGGCCGGCCTCGCCCTGGGGCTCTCTAGCATCCTGAGAACCAGCCAAGGTGGCTGGACTAAACTTCTCGACCCAGTCATGTGTTCCCAGCTCGAGGACTTTCGGCTTATGCTTGCCTGTGGCTTGTGTCTCTACATAGGCTCGAGCCTGTGATTGGGATTGGATCTTTTCCTTTTCCCTTACCCTTACCCTTTCCTTTAGCCTTTCCTTTACCTTTTCCTTTACCTTTGGCTGGGCTACCACACGCGGTGTCGTTACTACCACTGGACGCTCGTGCTCCCGCAACTCCCGTTGCTCGGCTGGCACATGCGATCGATGGCCCTTGTGCTGGGTTCGCTCTCCGTCTACCCTCTGCGGAGGGGTCGGCGGTGAGTGAGTGTGCCCCTTGAACCCGAAATGAGAGCTGTGCTTGTGGTAATGAGGCCGCCTTGGCAGCTCCTCCAGAGACTGACTGTGCGCTTGAGCCTGGCCTAGGGAGTGGGGGTGCGATTGGGAGTGCGAGTATAACTGCTGCACTTTGCAACACGCATTGGTACACTTCCGCTGGGGCTCCGCACAGATCCTATTCTGGTTATTTCGTGGGGTGTTCGGCGCGAGTGCACATGGCTTTCGCATACTGCCCAATGCACTGGGGGAGGGACGGAGCAGGTTGGATTTTATGTTAGTTGCAGGTTGAGGGTTGTGCCGGGGAGGGGGTTTGTGTGTGGTGAAATGGGGGTGGTTTGGGGTGTTTTCCGACTCTCGCTCTCTCTCTCGGAAGCCCAACATCGAACCATCGAATCTACATATCTAAATAGTATGATATATGTACCATAATATAATGTATACCATAATATTCCCCAAGCTAAGATAAAAGTAGACTTTTACTACTCCAAATTATCTTTTCCTAGGGATACATACATATATCTGACTTCTCTGATCGTTCCTCTATGTTGTTTGCCCCCAGTTCTCTGAGTTCTTTGCACAGATCTTAGAAATTAATTTTGTTTTCCTACAAATTCTTTATTTTATTGTTTTCTAAGGTTCTATATGATATATGTATGTAGTACTAGTTACCCGTTCCTTTTAAAACTTATCAACGGATGTGCCTAACGGCCGGATTGGCTTAGAAGTGCTATTGATTATTGGCTATTGGCTATTGGATATTGGCTATTGGCTATTGATTATGCCCTGGGTTGAGATGACGCGGATGATAATGTGTTGGAATATCTGGGCCGGGATCGGTGAAGACGCTCCTTCTGTTGCCGCTGTGGCTGTTGTGGTGGAGCTGTAGCCGAAGCTATGGTTGTAGAAGTGGCAGTGGAAGCGGAAGCGGATGTTTCGATCTTTTTGCCAGTTTTCTGTGGCTTCACATTCGATGCGGCTGTTGGTGGTGCGAGGATACTCGTAGTGGATGCGGAACGCCTATGCTAGGGACGACGGTACCTGAAAAAGGGGACGAGCAGCTAGAGAAGCTCCAGCACCCCATCACCAGACTACCGCCACTCCTTGGACTCCTTAGACTCACCCACACACCCCTCGCCAGCCCAAAGGACTCAAGACAATCGAGTGACACTCACCTGGTTCGGCACCCGAAGGGCAGTTCCCGTAGAGCAGCTGAATCCCTTGGCACCGTGGTCGGGGTCCTACAGGACTGGGTAATGCGATGGCCGGTACCCAACTCCTTGGAGATCATCCCGTACAGACTGTTACGATAGTCGTCCAGCGCGAAGCGGTAATCGTCGCGCAGCGGCGGCTGCACATTCAGTCGCATTTCCATCTCCGCCGAGGGGCAACGAAAGGAGCTCACAAACGGATGCTTGAGGGCCTTGTTGGCCGTGATCCGGTCTTTCGGATCGAGCATCAGCAGCGAGGTGGTGAAACCAATCTCGTCGGAGTCGCAGCCGCGACACATGGCGTTCAGGGAGTGCTGGTAGTCGCGTCGGATCGACCGGCAGAGCAGCGAAGTCCCGAATCGGGTTCCAATATCGTCTATCTCACGCTGGGTCACATTCGGCAGGGCAGACAATATTTTCTCCATCTGTGGAGCATGGCAGAACGGTTGTGGTTAGGTGATGGTGGGTTGGGGTGTGTTTTGTGTTTTGTGGTGACTGGTGACCCCCACCTGATTGATGGTGCTGCTGCCCTGGAAGATCGGTTGTTCGGTTATCATCTCGCCCAGGATGCAGCCCAGACTCCACATATCGACGGCCTTAGTGTACCTGCAAGGGTGAAAGGTACAAGATGCAACTATTTGCATGATTCCACGAGTGTATTTCGCACCTGCGACAACCCACGAGTATCTCGGGGGCACGATACCAGCGCGTGGCCACGTAGTCGGACATCATGCCATCATTCTCAGTAGGGGCGTCGTGGAGGCCGGTGGCGTCGCCAGTCCCTCTTTCGCTGGGCTTTACCAAAACCGTGCGCGCCAGTCCAAAGTCCCCCACCTTCAGTCTGTGTATGGGAAAGGATTAGGAAAACCGCCTAATCAGGGTGGGGTGGACTCACCTGCACTTGCTGTCGATCAGTATGTTGCTGGGCTTCAGATCCCTGTGGATGACGTTGCCCGAATGAACGTACTTTATGGCATTGACCAACTGGTACATTACGAACTGCCTGTGGATGTCCTTGAGGATGTCCCTCTTCTTGATGACAATGTGCAGATCGCTTTCCATGTGCTCGAACACCAAATAGAAGTCCATATTGTTGGTGGCCCTAAAGTGCAAGTAATCAACGTGATACCAGTAGGACAATGGCGATGGCGATGGCTCACGCACCTGTATATCCCCAAGAGTCGGATGATGTTCGGATGATGGCGAAAGGCCCGCAGGAAGATCACCTCCCGATATGTGCGCTGGGCATCGGTCGTGTCGCGAAACGCATCGTAGATCTTCTTCAGGGCCACTGTATCCCTTTGCCGCTTGTCGATGGCCTTCCACACAATCCCATAGGCACCCTTGCCCAAGGCCTGCAATGCTCGTATTATTAAAGCATGGATATGTACGAGCATGGTTGCTCTTACCTTTCGCACATCGAAAATTGCCGTCACGTTCTTGTCCAGTTCATAGTTGGATTCCGTCTTTGATTTGTTTGCCATCGGACTCACGCTCTGGACTCCGGCTCCGCTTCTGCTGCTAATTTGTGGTGTATTGCCTCTGGCCTCTGTTGTCCTCTACTTTGGAATGGACTCACTCGCTCATTTGCGGATCTGAATCCGCCGTTTCCGCGTGTGCTTTCCCCGAGTGTTTTCCTCCAGCCTGATTGGATTTGTGTGTGTGTAGCTGTGTGTGGCTGCTGGAGAGCCCAGACCCACTAAGGTGGTGGACTGGTGCTGTGGCAAGGTATCTGGTCAATACTCTAGTTCCCTTTAGCGGGAGTCTACTGTAGTGCTGTTGCCGTCAACTGCTGGTCTCAATTGTTGCTGTGACTGTGACTTTGAGTAGTTCCCAAGTGGTTTCTGGGCTCCAACTCCGGGGAATCTGTCCTAGACAAAAAGGAGGCTCGCGTGTTGTCCTGGATGTCTATGTCTCTCATATGCACACGGCATTCGATTCAAGTAGCACAAGTACATATGTAAATATACATATATATACATATGACTGTATGTATGGAAGGAAACAAAACCAAAAATCACAAGAAAAGGTAGGCCAGCGCTACGGGCGCCGAAGCTTTAGACACCCTTGAAGATCGGTCCTATATGGAGTCTATACGGGGGCAATATATGGTACGTTTGAGTTTACATGGAACAACCAAAAGGAATATGCACCTTCTTCTGTTATTCCAACTTCGATTGACAGCCTATTTGGATGCACGACACTGATCCAATCTTGGCATACATAGAGCATGTACAAAAATAAAGGATAGAATCAGAAAACGATAATGAACCGGATAAATAACTAAAGAAATAAGGTGTCTGCCAATCGTTGCAAGCATCTGCCCAAAATAATAGTATCCTCTGAAGGGTATTGCACCAAGAAGAAAGAAAAAGAGAGAGGCAAAAAATAAAAAACGAAAAACGAATTAATCTTCGTGAAAAAATTTGATTGAAACTGAATTATTGTTGGATCGATCAGGGAAAGCGACCGCCGGAATTGTTCTGGCAATGCCTCCAATCCAATGGGACGCTCAAGTGCCTTCGACAACTTCATGTGGCCCTCATCCAATCTGCTCATACTATATATTATATATTATATATGTATATATTCTTGATTCGGTACAAGAGTCTCTACTTCTTTTTGCTGTATGTATGAATGTAAGAACCATCTTTCGGAACCAAACCTATTCAAATGCAGATCAAATTCAGTGGATCGTTTGCATAGCATATGTACATATATATCATCGTTTATAGGATCGACCGATCTGCAAGGGTATCATTGCCTCGAAACCATTCGCTTCGGGTGAGGCGAGGCGCACTGTTAGCCTCCCTTTCGTGTGGATGTTGCTCTACAAACGCCGCAAAAACAATCAAAAGAAATTCATGGGTTCATGATGGCAGGCCATCAACTGAAAGAAGCACAGCCACAGTCATCACACAGTCACAGCCATAACGAGGAAAATGAATTTGTTTAACAAATAAAGAGGCAGGTACTCAAATTCGCGTATGGGCTCCCCAAAATATACAACTCAAGGGGGGGGGGAGTAGATAAGGCTTTTGCGAAAATGATTCCAAGAACCAAATGCCAAGCGAATGATCTGTATGGATTCTTAAATGTGTGGAAAACACCAGAGACCAGCAGCAGAAACGTGACAGAGGGGTGATATGAGATGAGATCCTAAGTACTTACCTGATGGGAAAACTAGCTCGATATAAGTGGTGCTGTTTGATGTTTGACTGCAACAATAACGAACAAAATGATAACAAACACAGAACCCCTATCCGTTGAGGCGGTGGTGGCGTCTTCGAACTGGTGGGGATCCAATAGGTGGATCCAAGAGTCCAATCCTTACCCCGTTCGCTTTTTCTTTGGGGCAGCGCGCGGACAATTCAATTTGCACCTTTCACTCGTGGGTCAAACGCATCCTTACTTTCTCGGAGTTTTCGTGGAATATAAAATATATTGTTCCTTGATGATGGATGATGGATGATTGATGAGTGACCGACGACCCGATACAGTCGACGCGGCCTGCAGGCTCTGGCTAGCACGTGGGTTCTCAAATTTACCAAAAAGAACTGAATTTACTATAGAAAGAAAGGGAAATATTTTGTGTTTTTTTGTTGTAAAATCCCACTGTGTATGAAGTGATGAATTCCGAATTGTATATGCTTTCGAACGTTATTTTTGCTCAGCGTCTAGCAAACGCCACGACTACTGTTTTTCGAAAATTCCAAATGCATATCATGCCTACTTATCATATCGTATCGTATACACTCGCACGGCCTCCTACCTCCCGGCTTCAATAACATTCGGTCCCATTACTTTCCCTTTCCCCTTCCATTGGTTTCCATTGGTTGCCCGACCCCCGCCCCAGCCCATCCGTTGACTACACTACTGCAGCTCGCTCCGGCAGGAGCTGGGCTGGCCATATCATTCACCCGTCAGCCGCCTCGCACATATGCACCACGGGATGGCGTACGCACACGCTTCGGTTGGTTGCTGATTCAAAGGAAATTTCCATTTTTTATTAAATTATGAACCGTTTGCTTAAGGAGCCTAATCATACATATGTTCCGATTTAACAACAGATTTGGGATCACATCTAATTAGCTTAATACACTTTTAGTTATGTTATCCTTTAGCCGGAGTTGAATTAAATTTAAATACGCTGAATAATAATTCATATAATTACAGCCCCAATACTAGGCATTGTATGTCTGTCTATACATACCATCATGTTTCTATACGTAAATAACTATAAATTCATTTATATTCTAGTATGAAGTATGAGCGAGTGAATGATATTTTTAAGAGTGCCGACCTATGGTTGTTATGGGACACGTTGCTATCAATAAATGCATATTTGATGCTTAGTTTTCTATAACAAAACAAACATGGGCGGGCCCTTGTCCGGCCGCATAGCAACCTGTGACTATGCTCGTGATCTGCTTCTTCCACGAAAGTCTCCAGAGAAACGACGGCGGCTTGCCGGTAAAAGTAAGTGTCAATAGGTTGCCCAGAGGGACGCGGATGCAGAACCTTCTTTATAGAGGAAAAAAGTATTAAATTTCAGCTTATTTTACCTATTTATTTTATTTACGTTTGCAGCGAAGGGAATGATGTCGTGCAGGCGCTGGGTTTGGAGCGTCGGCTGGAGCCGGACACAGTTTCGATCTTTAGCTTCTTTCATGCTGGTAGATGGTAGGGGGCCTTTGCCTTTGCTCCGTTTGTGATTGCATTTGGTGCTGAAGCTGGAGCTGATGCTGCTGTTGCTGCTGTTGATGCTGTCGCTGCTGTTGTAGCAGTATTAGTCGCTGAGGATTTTGGGATTGTGGTGCCTGCTGCTTCTGTAGCTGTTCTTGCTGCGGATGCTGCTGCTTCTGTTGCTGTTCTGGGTGATGATGTACCTGCTTCTGGTGCTTCTCCTTCAGCAACTGCTGGTGTGCTTGACGTCGCTGCTTCTTCTCGAACTCGGCCAGATGCTCGTTCTGCTTACGGACCAGCTCGTCGATTACCTCGTGGTTGTAGGTTGAGTGAAGCATGAGGCCAAGAAGATTGGCTCTAGAGCTGAGCTGCTGTCGGTAGCCACGCTCCTGCTCCATCAGGTCGTCCATTTTCAGCCACTGCCGGACGCGCTCCAGATCGATCTCGGCCCGCCGAATCTTCTCCCAGGCATAGTGCTTGAAGCAACTCTTCTTTGGAGCACGACAGAACTGTCCGGTGGGCTCGAAGACGTTGGCGACGAGGGGAGCGCCGCAGACGTCAGTGTCGTTTACTTTCGGATCCTTGCTGTGCTCGGGGCACAGGACTCGCAGTCGCTTGCAGTAGGTCTTGCTGGCCGGATTGTAAAAGTCGCAGAACATGTTGTTGCCCTCCATGCGGGTCTGGAAAATACTGCCGAAGCTGGCCTGAGATTCGTATTTGTTGAAGCACTTCTCCATATGCTTGATTGCGGTGCGCGAATGGATTTCGTGGCCACAGGTAATGCAATACATGCTCTGCTCATCCTCGACGTCCCCAGTTTCGTTCGCGGTCTGTCTTTCTATGATGCTGTGCTTGGCCCGCTCCACCACCATGTTGAGCTCGTCAGAACGCTTCTCGAGCTCGGCGAGAGCGAAGCGGACCATCGATTGCTTATCCCTAATGGCCTCAAGCTGCGTGCGGTTATCCTCTGCTGCACGGCAGGGCGTTAGGTTCCATTCCTGCAGACGCTGCGGCAGTACCTGTCATTGCCATTGAAATATTGATAAATATTGATCAATATGTTAATTTATAATTTGAAATGAGTGAAGATATGATAGCTACCTGGAATATGCGGTTGGTCGCAAGATTGAAGCCGCACTTTTCGCTGCAGTATTTGCTTTGCGGTCGCGCCTGGCAGCAACAGCCGGGGCCATGACACTGCCTCGTTCCTTCCAACTCGGGGTTGAGAAAAACTTCGGGACTGGCCACGCGATTCCCGACCTTCACCTTGCGATCCTTGGCCGTGGCCTTTTCTCGTTTCCTTGAAGGAACCGAAGCTTGAGGTTCAGACACAGCGGCTGCCTGGGCGACACATGTCCGATAGATGCAGCGCGGCTTGTGGCCAACGCGAATTCGACATGCATTACATTGATTGCAGTTCGGACGCCGACATCCCTCACAGGTGCCGCAACGTTTTCCTGCCTTAGGCTCTTTGGCATTGCTATGCTTTCGCTTTGGCTGGGCGGCGGCAGGTTGAAGGGAAGCCAATGCAGGCGGACCCGATCCGTGAATGTTGGAGCCACTGGTGGAGGCGGCATTTGAGGCGGCTGCCCGCTCGGTGGCCACCAGTCTGAATATTGTCTGCAGCTCCGGATTCTCTTGCTTGCATCGTCGACAGAAGTATTGCTTGATGTGTTTGGCCTCCTTCTCCGTGATTCCAATGCAATCGCCATGGTACCATTCCTCACAGCCATCGCAGCCGCTGTGGATTGCAAAGATGGTTGGATTACCAAACCTTCGGCAGTCAATCAATTTACGTCACCCACATCATAAACCTAGAGCAGTCGGAAGTGCGACATATGCAGTACGCCTGGTCCTCCTGCTTCAAAATTGTTGCTATCTTGGATTTGCGTTCAGGCAAATCGAATTCACGGGCAATTTCCCTACGGATCTCTTCCCTCTGCAGGAATGACTGGATATTAACTGGTTATTTTTTAACTATAGTATTCTTACGCTTTTCTTGTACTTCTTTTTTTCAGACATGATTATTTTGATTGTTTACCACAGCCGAAATACGTCACAAATTTAAAAAAATATACCATACAAATACTAATGAAACCGAACCATTTCCACTAAATTAATGTCTTTACATGGCAACTACACACTAACTATACGTTCGCTACATATTAACTACACCACATTTTGACACACCTTTTTTTCCGACGTTTTTGAAATCAGGAATTCGATACTGATCTGGAATGAGTTTTCGATGTGGCGTGGGACATGGCTCTAAATGACATTTCTACACGGTTTCTACATTGGTGCATTCGACAAGACGGTGATCCATAACGCGTCTTAAAATATACTTGAAAGTACTAGAAAATACTATGAAACGCATACCATTTGCAAGGTGTGTGAGCTAGACATGGTGGCAAGATTAGTGTGACGACCCTCAGAAAAATACCAAAATATACCGTCTCATTTTAAAAATATACCGTAAATATACTGACGAGCTCAAGTTATATTATACATATTCTTCAATTTTTATATTTCGTGGAATATTAATAGCTATATAGAACATTTAGCCATGCCCACATAATTTTATCCGATTAGGGAATCTATTTTCTAATTGACTGGTTTATTTTATCACACAGCCGAGATATGGCGCACAGGGAAAACCATTATTTCAAAGATATGCAAGTCCACATTTTCAGAAGGCTATATCTCAGACAAATAGGGCCAGATCGGTGAAAGACCAACTGTCCCAGGATCGCGAGGGTCCAGACTGTCGAACGACATCAAAATCTCAACTTCGAAAATGAGGCCGATTTTTTGAAAATTCAATGATGTAACCATCATGATTTTTTGCGAAAATCGTGAAAAAATGGATGTCCTCATTTCCGATGGCAGTCGGTTGGCAGGACTCTTCCGGTCTCGAAAAGACATGCCGCACTCCAATCGGCTGCCGTATCGCTGAGATATAGAGTGCAGAAAAACTAGTATCTGAAAGATATGCACATCCATATCTTCGGAATGCTATATCTCACACAAATAGGCTCAGATCAGTGCAGGACCCACTGTCCCAGGACAGTGGGGATCCTGCCTGTCGACTGCCATCAAAATCTCCACTTCGGAAATGAGGCCGATTTTTGGCAAATTTAATGATGTAACCATCATGATTTTTTGCGAAAATCGTGAAAACAGTGATGTCCTCTTTTCTGATGGCAGTCGAATTGCAGGACTCTCGCGATCACGAAAAGCTATGCCTCGCCCGGATCGGCCACTGCTTACCCGAGATATAGCTTACAGAAAAAACCAGTATTTCAAAGATATGCAAATCTAAATCTTCAGAAGGCTATATCTCAGACAAATAGGGCCAGGTCGGTGAAGGACCAACTGTCCCAGGATCGCGAGGATCCAGACTGTCGAACGGCATCAAAATCTCGACTTCGAAAATGAGGCCGATTTTTGGCAAATTTAATGATGTAACCATCATGATTTTTTGCGAAAATCGTGAAAAAATGGATGTCCTCATTTCCGATGGCAGTCGGTTGGCAGGACTCTTCCGGTCTCGAAAAGACATGCCGCACTCCAATCGGCTGCCGTATCGCTGAGATATAGAGTGCAGAAAAACTAGTATCTGAAAGATATGCACATCCATATCTTCGGAATGCTATATCTCACACAAATAGGCTCAGATCAGTGCAGGACCCACTGTCCCAGGACAGTGGGGATCCTGCCTGTCGACTGCCATCAAAATCTCCACTTCGGAAATGAGGCCGATTTTTGGCAAATTTAATGATGTAACCATCATGATTTTTTGCGAAAATCGTGAAAACAGTGATGTCCTCTTTTCTGATGGCAGTCGAATTGCAGGACTCTCGCGATCACGAAAAGCTATGCCTCGCCCGGATCGGCCACTGCTTACCCGAGATATAGCTTACAGAAAAAACCAGTATTTCAAAGATATGCAAATCTAAATCTTCAGAAGGCTATATCTCAGACAAATAGGGCCAGGTCGGTGAAGGACCAACTGTCCCAGGATCGCGAGGATCCAGACTGTCGAACGGCATCAAAATCTCGACTTCGAAAATGAGGCCGATTTTTGGCAAATTTAATGATGTAACCATCATGATTTTTTGCGAAAATCGTGAAAAAAGTGATGTCCTCTTTTCTGATGGCAGTCGAATTGCAGGACCCTCCCGATCACGAATAGACATGCCACGCCCAGATCGGCCGCTGTTTAGCCGAGATATTGAGTACAGCGAAAAACCAGTATTTCAAAGATATGAAAATCCACATTTTCAGAAGGCTATATCTCAAACAAATAGGGCCAGATCGGTGAAGGACCAGCTGAGGAAGGGCATGTAAAGCGCGAGGCTGTGTGCCTTGGCCTGGGTAGAATAAATGCAGAATCGTATCCTGGCAGTACAGAAGCTCACACCTTGCAAGATCCGAACCTTAAAGGCCATCGTCATCCTTCCACCTGGTCATCGACCACAAGGACTTTGACTGTGACAACCAAGGCAGAGGCTACGCGGGCTACTAGACTGTAGATAGATATCGTTGTTGTTAGGTTTTAGAATATACCCGTCCATTTATTTAAATAGTAGATACAAATGTTTAAACTTGTCTATTTATTTACATATACTAAGCTAAGTTTTGATGAATAAAACTTTTGAAAAATCATCCTTGCTGTATCCTGTATGGGGGAAGCTATGCAGATTACAAAAAGGCGTGGAACGCCCAGAGTGCACAAATAGAGGGAAAAACAAAAAATCTTTGATTGGGGAAAAGGTCCTTGATCCTTGATAAGGACCTCATTAAATCAGGGACATTTTTCCGAGCACAGGAAGCCTTCGCACGCCCAGATCGGGCCACAAATAGCGAAGAAAAATAAATATGTATGGTTGGGGTTGTTGGAGTCCTTACCGAAGGATCAAGGAAATTTGTTAGATCACGACGGGCCATGGCATCTTCCACTCAGGCCAAAAATAAGGAAGAAAACAAGATATATATGTCTGGAGAAAGTATCCTTGATCCTTGGTCCTTGATAAGGACTGCATTACATAAAGGATGCCATTCCGCGTACAGGAAGCCTTCGCACGCCCAGATCGGGCCACAAATAACGGAGAAAACAAAACAGGCTTGTAATTTGTTATTTAAAAAAAGGAAGTTCAAGAAATCACCGATAGGGGCGCCACCGTACAAAAAAATCGCGTCAAATGGCCAAAATCTGGATGGGATACCAGGCGAACAGAAATCAGCAGAAGGTCGCTGATTTAAAAAAAAATTTTCGAGCCCGCATAAGTATGCACCACTTTTTTGCATATTCTAACGTTACTTGCTGCTGATTCTGTTCGCCTGGTATCCCATCCAGATTTTGGCCATTTGACGCGATTTTTTTGTACGGTGGCGCCCCTATCGGTGATTTCTTGAACTTCCTTTTTTTAAATAACAAATTACAAGCCTGTTTTGTTTTCTCCGTTATTTGTGGCCCGATCTGGGCGTGCGAAGGCTTCCTGTACGCGGAATGGCATCCTTTATGTAATGCAGTCCTTATCAAGGACCAAGGATCAAGGATACTTTCTCCAGACATATATATCTTGTTTTCTTCCTTATTTTTGGCCTGAGTGGAAGATGCCATGGCCCGTCGTGATCTAACAAATTTCCTTGATCCTTCGGTAAGGACTCCAACAACCCCAACCATACATATTTATTTTTCTTCGCTATTTGTGGCCCGATCTGGGCGTGCGAAGGCTTCCTGTGCTCGGAAAAATGTCCCTGATTTAATGAGGTCCTTATCAAGGATCAAGGACCTTTTCCCCAATCAAAGATTTTTTGTTTTTCCCTCTATTTGTGCACTCTGGGCGTTCCACGCCTTTTTGTAATCTGCATAGCTTCCCCCATACAGGATACAGCAAGGATGATTTTTCAAAAGTTTTATTCATCAAAACTTAGCTTAGTATAAATAAATAGACAAGCTTAAACATTTGTATCTACTATTTAAATAAATGGACGGGTATATTCTTAAACCTAACAACAACGATATCTATCTACAGTCTAGTAGCCCGCGTAGCCTCTGCCTTGGTTGTCACAGTCAAAGTCCTTGTGGTCGATGACCAGGTGGAAGGATGACGATGGCCTTTAAGGTTCGGATCTTGCAAGGTGTGAGCTTCTGTACTGCCAGGATACGATTCTGCATTTATTCTACCCAGGCCAAGGCACACAGCCTCGCGCTTTACATGCCCTTCCTCAGCTGGTCCTTCACCGATCTGGCCCTATTTGTCTGAGATATAGCCTTCTGAAAATTTGGATTTTCATATCTTTGAAATACTGGTTTTTCGCTGTACTCAATATCTCGGCTAAACAGCGGCCGATCTGGGCGTGGCATGTCTATTCGTGATCGGGAGGGTCCTGCCAATCGACTGGCATCAGAAAAAGGGACATCAATTTTTTCACGATTTTCGCAAAAAATCATGATGGTTACATCATTGAATTTTCCAAAAATCGGCCTCATTTTCGAAGTCGAGATTTTGATGTCGTTCGACAGTCTGGACCCTCGCGATCCTGGGACAGTTGGTCCTTCACCGATCTGGCCCTATTTGTCTGAGATATAAACTTCTGAAAATTTGGATTTGCAAATCTTTGAAATAATGGGTTTCCCTGTGCGCCATATCTCGGCTGTGCGATAAAATAAACCAGTCAATTAGAAAATAGATTCCCTAATCGGATAAAATTATGTGGGCATGGCTAAATGTTCTATATAGCTATTCCACGAAATATAAAAATTGAAGAATATGTATAATAGAACTTGAGCTCGTCAGTATTTTTACGGTTTATTTTTATAGTAAGACGGTATGTTTCGGTATGTTTATGAGGGTTGGACGCTAGATTTTTTTACGCGGTTAGACTGCATTTTTTGTTTTTGTTTTTGGTTGGCGTGCTATTGATATTTGGATTTGGATTGGAATTGTGGATTGAAATTAAAGGTAAATGGCTGCCCTAAGCAATCTGAAACAATGCCCGCCGTTCTTCGCCCTGGCGGATCCGTCGTTCGGTGCCAATCATATTCCTGAGCTGGACAACTACCCTAGGATACATGTGAAGGGCGAGCTACACAATTCATCGGCTCAGCGTTTTTATGGCGGTCAGGGTTTCGTGCCGGTTCATGAAGGTGTGCTGAAACGCATCATTCGCACCTTCTTTGAAGGAGGTTTCTGGGATTCACTGGCGGAGACTCGCAGCGAAAAGACACGCGAACAGGCTCCCTGGTTAGGAAAGACCGGCGACTACATATCCCAGCTGCTGGGCATCGCCACTACGCTTAAGCTAAAAGTATTACCGCACACACACGATTTGAGTGCAGAGCGGATCGCCCAGTATGTGGAGACCAGGTATGTTTACTGAGATTTCTCTTGTCTAAAGGACTCACATTTTAGTCCGAGGTTTGCTGTTTTCTGTTTGCTGCAGGGATTGGATCGACAGCGATGTGCGCTTCATGGCATGGAACTGTCATGTGTTCAAACTAGCCATAGCTGGCATTGACGATGTGGTGCGCATCTACACCAGGAACACTGATGCAGCGACAACCGTACTGAAGGTGAGTCCTAGTCGCTTGGCACCCGCACACCAACTATTTCATCGGCTTAACCCAATCCATCATCCTGATACATTGCAGAGTACAACTCAGACACAAATCACGTGCATAGCCTGGCGTCCACTGAGTGTCACGGAGATCGTTATAGGCTGCCGTCAGGGTCTCTGCTTTTGGATAGTGGACAACACCATGATTCTGGGACGTACCAATTCGCCCAGTCAGTTCTTCAAGCAGTGAGTATTAAAGCATTATCAGCAGCAGCAAGAGTGAGTGGTATTCAATTGTTAATGGTATTCGCAGTCCCGAAAATCTTCCCATTACCTCCATGCAGTGGAACAAGCTTGGCAACCTACTGGCAACAGCTTCAATTGGCGATCGCTCGATCATCATCTGGCAGCCAGACAGTGGACTAATGGAGCCCCTCAAGAGACTGGGTCCGCCCGGATCCCTGCTCAAGTGGTCACCGGGCAATGATTGGCTCTTCGCTGGCACCGTGGATCGAGTATTTCGAGTGTGGAACTGCCACAACCATTGGACCACTGAGCGCTGGACGTGCGGCAACGGAGGCCATGTCCAGACTGCCTGCTGGTCCCCCTGTGGACGATTCCTGCTCTTTGTCAGTACCACCGAGCCGATTCTCTATCGACTGCAGTTTGTCCAGCAAACTCTGTTGAAATGTAAGTACGCACGCGAATGCGAATGCGAATGCTTATCCGATCAAATCAAGGGCAGCCTGGTCAAATGTTTGTCCCAGAGTAATGGGCAGAATGTGACCACCAGCGGCTGCCCAAGAGTAAACTAGTTAGCAACAGGTTGGCGGCTGCTTGAGCTTCCAGACCGCCTGTATAATGCTGCCAACACTTGAAACACCAGTTTGAACCCTATACTCACTTGTATATAATGACGTCTTTCCCCTCTAGCGACTAAGGACGAGAAGGAGGTACTGCCCATAGCCGACCTGAATGCTTGCAGTGCAGATGAAAATAGATCGCTGATCGGTGGCCCTGTCCAGCAGCTGGCCTGGGATCCGCGCGGCAACTACTTGGTGATCACCTTCAAGTCCACCAACCACATTGCCGTCTTCCGCACCTTCATCACAAAGTACGATCTGCAAATTTCGCCCGCCTATTATCTCAGTGGCGAGATCGCAGCAGAGCACCCCAGCTTCGTGTGCTTCCAGCCGCTGTACAAAGAAGACGAGCGATCGATTGTGACCATTGCGTGGTCCTCGGGACGTATCCAGTACTATGCCTTCGACTGATGTTATGCCACGATATAGGGTATTCAGAATGGTCGTTTTGTATTTTTTATTTTATATAGTTTCTGTAAGGGAATAAATTGAAAAAACGAAACTAAAATAGGAATGTATGTATCAATGGAAGAGGGAGTTGGAGCAACTTTATGTATACAATAAGAAAGGCTTGCTTTTCTTCATGGCTTCTTCTGGTAGACGCTCGACCTCTGCCTCTATCTACATATATGTATATGTATATGCATGTGTGTGTCTCTGACTCCCTTCAATCTGTGTTATCCCCGTCCCTCTTCAACACTTTATTCGATCCTCAACAGATAATTCATCTAATTCGAGATTCGTACTCGCTCATCTCGAAATTGCAACTATTATCAACGACTGACTATAAAACTACCAAGATGTGGCATACTGTTCTTACCTATGCTTCGTCTTTGACCGCACTCCTCGCTGCCTATCCGGCTTCGTCTTTTCGTCATTGCCTTCGGTCCCTAGAGTCCAAGAGAAAAATGCAAAGTCCTTGCCGATCGCAAAATTGAAATGGAATTGGTTCCTAATGCAATATCTTGACAATTGTATAGACTCTGCTATTATTTAGTTTTAAGACGCATTTCATGAACATGATTATAAATATTTGTATATCTGTATGGTGTATATATATAGTAAGTATATAACGTAATCTTGGAGTGGATAACAGAACATAAAGTTAAATACAAAACATAATGGTTGCAACCAGAACAACATAAACAATTAATGAGGCTACGCCGAGAATGCGTGGCGCAGGCGGGATCACACTTGAGAAATACTAAGTCACAATATAAACATGTATACATATCAATTTATATCCACATAGAGTAATAAATAAACGATTTGGTCCCTCTAGATGTCGCCGAAGAAGTATGCGAGGGCCGTGGCCGCCCGGATACGCACACCCGCCTGCTCGTCCTTGAGCAGCACGGACATCTTGCTGGCCACCGCCTCCGTTTGGGCATTGCGCTCGCTTAGAAAATTGTGGAGAATGCCTGCAAGAGATCGATCGATGATTACTCACTCATTAGTCTGGCTCGCCCTATCCGCCCTGTTCTGGCCTCCGCGCCTCCACTTACCAATCACAATGGCGGCACTTCCTCGCACCTCAGGCCACTGACTGCGCAGCTTGGGCATGCAAGAGTCGATAAAGTCTTGAATGTGTTCAGTCAGCTCCAGAGCCTGCGACAGACAGAACGGAAGATACGCTTTTACAAACGAAGAGAATAGAAAAGAACCCCTCCACTCACAATCAATTTGACAAAATCCACGACAAAGGTGCTGTAATTGAGCTGATGGCCATTCTCCTCGCCCAACTGCTGGTGGGCCATCTCCATGACCCGCGGGGCATTCAACAGGCGGCAGACACGCTGCAGGGTGCCACGGCAGGCACTAACTATGGCCGCTTCGCCCTCGCTGAGGTGCAGCAGCAGCGGAAAGAGATTGGCGATTAGCTGCTCTCGCAGGGCCTCCATCGATGAGCTGCTGGGCGAGCTGCTGCCATCGTCCTGCTTGCCCTCGCACAGGTCGCCGAACAGAATAATCGCCGCTTCGCGCATCTCGAGTGAGTAATTGCCGAAGAATGGCCGGATGCGAATTGTCAGAGAGACATGGAAGGACTCCACACGGCTGCTGGGCAAGGCCCTCAGGATGGTGGACAAGCCGCGCATGCTCTCCAGTGGTATGTTGATCAGACAATCGCCTACGGGATCGTCCACACCCTTTAGCAGGGCAGCAATAGCCGCCTCCGCGTACCGCGGCGCCTCGTGTTCCCCCAACTGGCCTACAAAGCCCATTCCCTGGATACTCAGGCCGCGCACCACCGCATTCGGGTCGCTTAAAGCTGCCCCGAGGTGCATCATGACGCAGCTGGCCAGCTCCCCGACCGGCTTAAGCGGTACCAGACGTGAGAACAGTCCGACAGCAGCCACACGCTGCCCGTCGTGGGGTGAGGCCACGTATTTGCTTAACGAATTCACCAGCTGACGCATCTGAGGACTCCCCAGCTGCAGCTGGTGGCCCAGACCGATGGCCATGGGCGTCAGCAGCTCGATGTAGCTGTGCCAGTCCGCACTGCTGGCTAGGTTGCTTGTCACGGTCAGCACATTGGCGATCTGCTCCATTTCGAGATTGGTGAGAAAGGCCTATTGAAAGAAAGGGAAAAAAGAAAGTCAACAGTAGTCCGAACAGATGAACAGTCACCCGTTGCTTGTCTGCGTATCTGCACCAGGAAAGTTTGCCATGCCCTTTGGGCAGGATGAGCACACAACCAAATGAAGCTACAGTTTCGGATTCGTACCTGGAACGTCTCGAGGGCTATCTGGCAGGGATTCAGTTTGATAAGCTCCTTGTTGGGCACGAAACCGAACTTTGACTTGCTCGTCTGCACTTGGCCGGGGCTGCTGGAGTTAGCCGGCATATTCGGGGATGCCAGGTTAGTGTAGCTGCTCAGCGAGGTCAGGAGCATGCTGAACATGTCTGCGAACCGCATATCCAGTTGCTGGATTGAAAGAGAAGTGAAGAGAAGGCGTCGTTAAGGGAATCCTTCGGATGATGGGTGGGGTGTGCAGTCTCACCCCTTGTATGTCCTTGCAGGGCAACATCTCGTGCAGGGCGCAAAAGATGGCAAATGGCTGGACACTAGCCAAGCGCTGACGCTCCAGCGTCGATTCCTGCGACCCCTCGTGCAGGCAAGCGCCGCTAAGCAACTGCAAGAAGTTGTCCAGCATGAGGCCCGTCAGGTCGGCATCGCTGCAGATCAGATGCCAGTACTCGACCATGTGGGCGTCGTAGGGCAGCGGTTGGCTGAGCATCTCGGCGCAGACCAGCTTAGGATGGTGCTTCGTAAGGGCCACCAGAGCTTTGAGGACGCCGGACTTGGCGCGCGGCACCTCGCAGAGTTGTAGGGCCAGCAGGCTGTCCTTCACGAGATCGGGAATGGCATGGAAGAGCTCGGAGCCCTTCTGCTGTATGAAAAACTTCAGCACGACACTGGCCCCGATCGTGGAGCTCTGCTCTGGGTCCCTCAGCGACAGCAGCAGGGTCTTGCTAAGGTGGAAGTAGAAAACGGCGATAATTAGCCAAACGCTAATTGGCAAAGCATTGCGCTTGGATTACTAACCAGAACTGCAGATACTGGAAGCTGGAGATACGCTGGGCTATAACCTTGGCTATGTCGCCGGCCAGGTCGTAGATCTGCTTCGGCTCGTCCGTGATGATGTGCTCCTTGATGGATTCGATCTCCTTCAGCCAGTCGGCGCTGCTGTCGATGCTGGCTATAGTCAGCGTCTCGTAGATGCAGGCTATCTCCAGTGTCTTCTGCAGTATCTCCACCGACACCTGGCGCACCGTTCCGTTCGAGTCGATGCATCGGGGCACAATCTTGCCCAGCATCTGGCCCGTCTGGTTGAACTTGGAGGGCGCCTCGCAACCGATCCGCATCGACTTGATGTACACGTCGAGGGTGTTGTTGAACACGTGGCTGGCACAGATGCGCACCTCCGAGTTCCTGTCGCGCGTCCAGCTTTCGAGGATGCCTATGATGAGGTCCAGCGTGGCTGGCGAGGCATCCAGCTCGACTATAGCGCGCACAAGGGCGTTCAGCTGCGGCAGAGATTCGTTGAGATGCTTCGCAAGAAAGCTGTTGCGCTCGTCCTCCTCCTGCGAGTCGAACTTCATCTTGAGCTGCTGGGCACAGCTGAAGAAGTTCTTACAGGCAATCTCAAATATGACGCCTCCATCCACACACTCCTCGCTGTCGGGACCACCTTCAATCAGGAAAGGGTTAGAGGTTAATCAAGTGAAAGTAAAAGTTCAAGAGGAGTTCGTACCTATGCGTATGAAGTCCGTGCCCAGCTTGAGGATTGTGGGCAGCAGGGGCAGGTCGTGGAAGGGCGCCTCGATGGGTATGCTGAAGACCGTCTCCATGATCTGCTTACGATACTTGAGTGGTGCCGGTAGCTGCTCCTTGGTCACGATCAGCTGATTGCAGATGCTAAGCAGCGTCTGAAGAATGGCCGACATGATGGTCTGGTCCTTGTGCCCGGCCAGCTGCTGCATGAGGAAGCTGAGCATGGTGTCATCGTCGAGGTGCTGCAGCGACTGCAGCGGATCGGCCTCGTCCATGATGCGGCCGAAGGCCTTTATCACCAGCAGATTGCTCTTGTAGTTCTCAAGCTCCTTGTGGGTGTCCTTGATGAAGTGTAGGTTGCTGAAGAAGCCCGTGGAATGCTTGCGTCCCCCCAATTGCGCCAGCTCCGACAGCTTCTTGATCAAGTGGCCGAGGTGCTGGCGGGATATATAGCCGAGAGCGCGGGCGCACGGCTCGATCTTCCGCTCGTACTCGGCGTGCTTGACGTGCTTGTCGAGACGCTCCTGCCTGGCAGTGGTCACAATCAGGTCGATCTTGGTATGGATGCACGCCACGTCCGTTACTTGAAGCAGGGTGAGGGCCACCGCCTGGAGCAGCATGCCGCGCTCGGCACTCACGTCCGGCAGCTGCCACTCGGAGTGTGGCAGCGTCATCGGATAGAGGTACATCTGATCCGCGAGCTTGTTCGCCAGCCGCTGGGCAAAGTGCTCATCGAGGCCGGTTAGGAACTCGTTCGTCTCCAGGATGAAGTCGTGTAGCTGCTGCCGGTACGCGCTCTCCTTGTTTATGTGCAGCAGGAGGTCCGGAATGCGGCGCTCCCATAGCTTATCCAGGGCAGGGTTCAGCTGCGGGTGGTAGTAGCGCAGAAAGCTGAGGATGTTCGAGCAGCGCTTGATGCAGTGCTGGTTACCCAGAAGGGCCAGGCAGCGGGCATATATCGACTCCGCGCCGGGTACCATCACTTTGCCGCGCTTCACCACCGATCGGTCATCGTGGCCAGTGGCCGCCACCGCTGTTGCTCCCGACGGAGGAACCGTTTCAGTATTGGCTGCTTCAGCGGTCATCTCGTCACCGGCGATGTCATACTCGATGTGGGGCGACTTGGCGAACAGGCTGGCCAGGCACTTGGCCAGGTTGCCGCAGATGTCGGTGTAGTCGAGCAGGACTAGATAGTTGAGGAGCTCGCGCTTGAGCAGCTCGTCGAGGGTGCC